CCATCTTAAAATCTGAGTCAGCCCCCCAATGGGTTACTGACAAGATATACATCTGAATGAAAAAAGCCTGATTGACCAAACTGTTATCTGACTTATGACCATCACGAGAAGGAAAGGTTGGCTCGGTTAGGAATGAGGCTTAAATTAACAACTAAAACCCATAACATCGCTGTCATACCTTGCCATTCCCAGACCACCTTAGACTCACCCTTCACCATCTTTGGGAACCGATCTAAACGAGAATCTTGCTGAACCAAATCCTCAACCTACAAAAAGAACAGGGTAATTATCATAAACACTTAAACAACTGGTGTTGCAACACACACCTTTAGATAAAAATTAAAAGAGGACCAAACAGGAGAGATCATATGATTGATATCCTCATAATGAGCAACCAAGCTTCCTAAAACTCAACAGATTAATTAAAACCACCATGATTTAACTACAACAATTTTTTATTCAGTTTAAGCATGTCTATTGAAACAATAGACAAAGTGATATAGAACAAGAAGTATGGATTTCTATATTTCTATATTTTTATTTTTATTATTTTGTTGGAATAAGGGTTTGGTTAGGAATATTCTAGAGCTGCCTAAAACCTTGACCATTTTCCTAATTCATTAGACATATGTTTTATTGTTTTAGGTAACTTTTTTAAAGTTAGGGATTTGTCTCTGTTTTGGTTAAGGCTTAGGGTTTTGGGGACTCCTATAAATTGCCCAATGTACTACAATTCTACTTAGTTGATTGAATAATATACATTTTTTAGAGATATTCTCTTGTTCTTTACTCTGTGGATTTAGAGTACCTTTATTCTATACACTGACGGTGATCTCTTTGTATTCCGTTTACCGCTGCATCAATTGGTATCAGAGTCTTGTTTGACTTAGCATGATCAGCGAAGTGGGACAACTTTCCCCGTGACGGTGATTATGTGAAAAGGGTTCTTCTGAGAGCCAAATTCTTGATTCGTCAACAACAACAGCAGATTACCAGCATGCCTTGCAAGAACTGCAGGCTATGGTTGGTCAGTGGGCATTGGGTCCAAACCAGTATCTTGATCGAGAGCGAGTACAAAACGGCGATAGGATTCGTGTTCAACCCTTTCAAGATCGTCTTTCTGTCTATTCCATAACTATTGCAAATCTTGTTGATGATGATAAGTATTATGCAGGTATGTTTGATAGCTATCTATTTCGTACCTATTGCAAATTCTGTTGATGATGACAAGTATTATACAGGTATGTTTGATAGCTATGATTATGCTAGGTATTATCGAAGACGTGATTATAATTCTAGATATTTATTTATGAAAGTTAACCTACCAAGTTTTGATGGTTGCGTTCATAAAGAACATTTTCTAAATTGGTTAGCCAAAGTTAAAAAATTCTTTGATTATCATGAAATTCCAGAGAAGAAAGTGGGGCCAGTAACATATAAATTAAAGAGTCAAACTTATGATTGGTGACAACATGTGAAATTGTTACATGCAAGTCAACAGAAATCTAAAGTTCATTATTGGCAAAAGATGAAGCGATTGTTAAAAGAAAGATTTGCACCTTAATATTATCAAGAAGATGAAGGATACACGTATGATGCATATCAATCAGTGAGGCAATCTTTTTCACGTTATAATAATTATTCAGCGACTTGAGTCTCATATCAAAATAAGGTTAGTGTGGAGTTTTCAAATACTTTGTTGGATCAGAAAATTAAAGTGAAAAGTAATGAACTTAGTGAGGAGACCGAATATTCTTATGGTGATGTTGGGGAGCCTCTTGAAGGTTGTCAACATGAAAAACTTGAAAAAAAATACACAGCTGATATTATAAATTTTGAGAAGAAGAAAAACAACAAAATTTTGGTTGATTTCCATGAACCACATATTTCCTTGGTTTCAACGATATTCAAGCTTGGAGTTTTGGACAGGAATGGGACTTTTCCTCTTGATGAAAAACAACTGGATGTGTGTTAGGGCACACGTGTACTATATGCACCCTAGAAGAATTTCTAGAGAAATATCGCATCATGAAACAAAGTACAGGAACTCCATCTTTATAAGCATTAGGAGGTAAGTGCAAGATCAAAATGAGGCATCCGAGTTCCCTTTGCACCTGCACTGAACATTTTAGGCTGATGACTCTCAGAGGGAGATGATGAGATCATTTGGCTGGTTCCTAGCTTGGCACATGGTTAAAAGTGTAAAGTATGACTATTCACAACAGAAAACTGCTATGCTCAATCCCTTTCCAACAAAGTTGGGAACACTAACCACAATATATATTAGCCTGACAAAAACATTTTTGTTACATGTAAGTTTAACAACAACCCTACGAACACCATTTTAAGCACATTTTACTTAAAAAATTAACAAATAACACAATTTAGTGTAATGGGGTCTAGGAGGGAAATCTAACTCTAGCACTACTTGCACAAAGTGGTTGCCCTCGGTTCAAACCGAGAACCTCAAGGTTATTGGGCCGAATTTTAACTATAGAACTAGTACTTCCTGCAATATATTTTACTTAAAAATACCACAAGTATCATGAATATCAAGAATAACTGACAGGAATCCCTCCCCCCCAAAAAAAAAAAAAATTATTCTTTTCTTAAAAAAGAGATTTCAGAATATATAAGAATACCATTTTCCATAACAATGGGTGCTTTCTTTCTCTGGGTGAAAGAAGATGATCTCGCAACCATGAGGCAACTACCCATGCTTCTTGCTCAACATTTACACCTTTTGACGTCAAGGCCTTCTCTTCAAGGATATCGCATACCTAGCACATTCGGCATTTGCACAATTTCAGGCTATTATATTGTGACATTCAGCAAGTCTTATCAACACATATGACAAATTTAAAACGATTTCTTTTCACCTAGAATGAAGAAGAAATCCCCGTAGTCAAGGAAGAGAAGGCAAAAAGTCATTAGCCAAGTTACAGACAAGAATCAATTGAACCCAAGAACTGAAACATCAAGGAATTCGAGGTAAAAGGTCTATCTCTTTTTGGTAGGAAACAAAACTTTCATTGATTAAAAAAAGGTTTACAAGAAATCCACCCTACGATGATCCAAAAAGAGGAAAAATACATCAAAGAAATAAACAATACAACCCTGTAAAACGTGAAAAATCTACTAGTTACATGCAACTATCCAATCAATATTCAATACTAAGAAAATAAAAAGGCATATCCTGTTGCAGTCGAAGCCCAAAGGGAAAAACGTCTATCACCCATAAGGCACCTACATCCCACTTTCTAGCTTCAAATATACAACCACCCTTGTTGAAAGGTATGGAGAACCAACCATTTTCCTTTTTTACTCACTAGATTGGCCAATAAGCCACATTTTGTGTTGCAATCAACTTGACCAACGTCATAACATGCGACTAAAAAAATAGACAATTTTCAAATTGGGTGTGAGACATGTGTAGTGGACCAGATTTAAGTCATAACTGGGGGTTTCTTTCCAATTATTCTCAAAAAACCACTCTCTTCTGAAGCCAAGAGCCACATTTGTGTGCCATGCCTCATAATTACAATAATGAAAAAAGATCTATTAAAAAGCATACAGGTACATACGCACACGCACACACACCCAAAACTAACAACACGTGTTTTAACTTGGAGCACAAAACTAATCAATCTTAATGTCCTTTTCAATTAACTGGTGACGAATGATCCCTAAGTCGGCATGTGGACCAAGATGTCATTGAATGAAACGGTGATGGCTCCTACATTTTAAATCAGAAGGTGGCCTATACCAAGTTTAAAGCAGTCTACAAAATCAAACACCAAAATTAATTCAAATCATGGATGCTAAAAGGAAACAGAAGGTGGGCATATGTACCTGGTTGTAAAGCTGTTCAGCTCTAACTGATAGATAATGTCTTCGTCGGATTCTTAACAGTAACAATGTGCATCCCAAAAGCTGTAAATCTCAATATTGTCAAGAAGCTTTAACATGCTGATACCAAAACATAATCTTTGAAAGGCCGCTTTGGGTTATCAAATACCAATGCAGTAAATGGCACCAAAATTAAAGCATGCTCAGCAATCCACTGTCGGATGTAACAGGTAACTGGTTTGTAATGTTCCACTAATGACTCTGGACACTTGAACTCTTTGCTCCTATACAGGAAGGACAAGAAATAGCATGCAGAATGCTCAAGTCATTCCATTAGTGATCCAAAGAATAAAGATTCGCATACTTTGACATTTGAATAGCTGAAAATAAATTATAGCATACCCATTTATATTTTTCCTCGTCTCCAATAGTTTATCAACAGACTCCATTGCTCTTTGCTTGGCATGCACATATATCGCACTATCCAAGCCATAATTCTCCATTAGCTTAGAATCATCTAAATCATTCCACATTTCATCCTCCTGAACCTAAAAAAACAATGCAATTATAATACAGAAACTGATAACAGATTAACTTCAGCACTATTACATTTGCCAGCACAAGCAGATTAAGATTAAACAGAGAGAAAGCTAGAATATAATGTTATGGAGTTCAGAGGGTTCCAAAGCTTACAGACCCAAACAGTGCCAGTTCCACCGCACAAATATTGAGCATATGCTTCACAGACTTTTTTTACTTCCAATTTTGACTGCAGTTGCATCATGTAATAATTGCACGTCAGCAAATCATCCACATGATTTATAGCTAGATAATGCGTTTCCACCCTTACATGACAGAAATACCAAGCAAGTGTCATCACGCACAAGTTTCTTAGCTGTTTCATTGATATCTGCATCTTCTACGCATAACTTCCCAAGCTTTCTGTAGCCACGGGCACACTCCAATTTGCCTTCATGACATACTCCATTTCTTGGACAAGGCTCACATAAATCTGCAACAGTGGTCATTGGTTAGAAAGGGTACATCCAAACAAGTTTTTATTTTCTTTTTTATGGTGGTATATCCATACAGACTAAAGCATCTTCCTTGGTTACAATATGACTCAATAATGAAGAACTGATAACTAGACATGGAAATGCAAATGGTGACGAACTGCAGAGTTCTATTACCGCTTCTCTTTTTTCAGGAGTGAATAAAATACGCATCAAACTTCCACATAATGGTGGTCTCACTTTTACATGCCCTACCTTATAACTGTTAGGTTTTGACCAACTTATCGTAACTGCTCACTCAGTACATTGCTTACCAATTTTAATCTTGGAATACTCTTTCTTCGGCAATGAAGAAAATACGCATCAAACTTCCAGTTAATAAAAGATCTCACTGTTACACGCCATGACTTCACGCTTGGGTTTTGAAGTTTGAACAATTAATTATATCTGCTCAATCAGTGCATTGCTTACCCATTTTTCATATTTTCCAACATCTTCGGAGAATTTTGCTCGATACCCATAACAGTTACCAAATTTAATTGTATATGTTGTCGTTAATCAAAAAAAAAAAAAATTAATTAACGAATCAGAGGACTTACCGGATAAGGAATTGTCGAAACCTGCGTCGTTATCGCAGAAGGGTTTTGGCTGGCGATTGAGAAAGTTGACGAAGACGTTGCAGGTGATTGCTACTGATGCCGCAATGGCAACAACCGCGAATAGCCTCGAGAGCTCGCCCTTTGATGGGAAGAAGCTCGGCGATGGTTCTATTAAGAGACTGTGTGATGAAATCGAAGAAGATGATTTTGGGGGTTTGGGTTTAGAGTTTTGGGATTCTGATTTTGGGCGTGTTCTTGGAGTGAAAGACATTGGGAATTTGTGTTGTGATCACCCACAGCCGCAGGGTCACTAAACAAAGAAACTGTGGAGCTACGGAGGGAAGGAACTAGAGACCGGAGAGACGAGAGAGATCCATGATATTCATTGGATCCTATAAATTTACACTTTTTTGAATTTTAGTCGAGTTCAATAATCAATTATGAATACTATTGTGGTCTAAATTGATTTTTTTTTTCAACACACGGATATATAAACCAATTTACACACACATCGACTAATCTTTCTGGGTTTACAGTCTAATCAAAAGCATATCATTTATGTTCAGACTAAAATATTTATAAATGATAAATTTTTTATAGACAAATACTAAAGTGTTATTAAAATTTGAATTCAGAACGTTAATTTTATAATTTGTCCTGTTATAAAAAAAATTAAGTTAATTTTTTAAAATATTAAAAAATTATTTGATTTAAACAAATTGAGATATTGTCAAGCTCAATTCAAAGTTACTCAACCCTTTAGTTTTGGAATCCTCGGACAAATTAGGTGAGTTGAGAGATTAATTTGAACTCAATTTTTTTTTATATTTCTTTCAATTGACTCAAACTTAATTCAAATTATAAAATCGTCGGTATGAATTCTAATTTTTAAAACTCAAGTTAAACTCGCATATATATATATATATATATATATATATATAATATTTTTTTAGGTGAAATGATTTGAGAAATATTCCCTTCCCAAATGCTTAATTATGTGCATCACAATCCTACACATTAATCTAACACAAAATATAATTGTCACATATGGAAGACTTAAGATGTTAACATCATAACCAACTTGGTTGATCAGACTCATCTTTTTTATAGGATTAATTATACTCAAGGTCACTAAAATATAAAATTTATTTTATTTTAGTTTTTAATATTTTAATTGTATTATTTTAATCACTAAAATATTAAATATATTTTTACGTAATCTCTCAAGTTGATAATATCTAAATTGTTAACGATTTTTTACAGCAAATTTGTTACGTAATACTTAAATTTGGGTAAAAAAATAATTTGAGTAGCTCTTTGACCAAAAATTGGATAAAAATTTGGTCAAGAACTATCCAAATTATTATTTTTTGCTTATTTATATTTATAATTATAATATAAAATATGGTAGACTTCAATAAACGCATTCAACTGTCACAGATTTATCAAGCAGTTATCAATATTTCTCTCAAAATTATTCACATCTATCTTTTGAATTCATCACTTTTCACTTACGTTGTATCGTATCTTTAGACACGAATTACCTCTAATATTTAGATATTACGTGACAAGTTTTTAATAAAAAAGGGGTTAACAATCTGGAAGTAGATATTGCCTACGTCTGCTTGAGAGACCACATAGAAATATTTAAAAACTAAAATGATGTAATTGAAATATTATAGATCAAAATAAGATAAACTTTATATTTTGTGGACCCAATGTTTTATATAAATATAATTATACACGATATAAATCCGAATCTAATTACCTAAAGTGTATGTAAAAGGATGACATGTTGAAAAATGACGGGGTTACTTAAACGATAAGTAATAAACAAAGTAATTGTCACAATTTAACAACTATAATTTATTTAATTATTATTTGGATAAAATTACATTCACACCCCTAACATTTAACTTTATTATACAAACACTCTCTCACATTTTAAATATTATACTAAGATCCCTTGATATTTGAATACGTGTGATAGCCGCATCTATTTTGTCTAACAGACGTTAACAATTTTCTTAAAAAGACTGTTTTACCCTTGTATATCATTAAGATTAACTAATGTCTATATTAAATTTATCCAACTCACCCCTCTATTTGATTAAGTCAAAATAAATAAATTAAAAAAAAAATCCCAACCTCTAGATCACTCAAAAGCTCCAACGTCAACCCTAACTTTAATCATCTTCTTCCTCCATCCCTTGTCATTACCACCACACAAATCAAACCCAACTCTAATCATCTATTCCCCTCTCTCTTCCAGCACGCAGATCATTCCATTGCACCCAACCACCAGTCTCACTAACTCCCTTACGTTGTTGCTCCTCCGTCACCCCTACCCCCATTGCACCCTCCTCCACCTAAGGTCAGTGACATGGCTAATAGATGGTGAAAAAGGGTATAGGTAATGGAGATTTGGTGGTAGGAAGTGGTGGTTGAAACTTAGATCTGAAAATTCCAAAATCTCTCTCTCTCTCTCTCTCTCATTCTAGGACCATTGGTGAACTCGTATCTGAAAAATCTAAAGAACCTAGATCAATAAAAATATCTAAAAAGTTGAAAAATTAGGCTCTATAGAAATCGAACACTTATGAAATCGATCTTAGGTTTGAAAAATTAAACTTTGTCACCCCTCTAGTGTGATGTTGATGACTGAAAGGGGTGGGTAGCTGAGTTGGGTTATCGATTTTGCTGTGTGTTGGTTGTGCCTTGGAGGAGGTAAGTTCGGTTTGAGGTTTGGCAATGGTGGCTATGATGATGGGAACTACTGGGGTGGGAGTCTCAGGAGTTGGGATGGTGAAACTGGTGTGACGGGAGTGGCGGTAAGGTAATAGGGGTTGGTGGTTGTGGGCGGTAGATGCCGGGGGGAAGTGGTGGTAGTGGCGTTTACACATAATTTTAGCAAGATAAATTTGGTATAATCATTGAAATTTGATGAAGATTGTTGTTAATTCAAAATAAATTAAAATTATTAATTTAAGTGATAAGATTGAATTTAGTGATAAAATTATAAGGTTTAATTTTAATTAGGTGTTAAGTTTAATTTGAATTAAGTGTTAAATTCATTTAATTAAGGCCTGATTTGTAATTTAGTTCACTTGAGTTTTTTTTTTTGACCTCAGAACGGAGGGTATGATTGTCATTTTATTACTTTTGTTAATGACATCTATTATTTGACGAAATTTGGGATCTCAGTGTAAATTTTGAAATGTGAATGGGTGTCCATGTGATAAAATTAAATGTTAGGGGGTGTCAATGTAATTTATCCTTATTATTTTCTCATTCAACCCTATCGTATGTTTGGTACGATGGAAGAAGTGTGGACGAAAACAGAGGAGAAAAAATGGAGGGGATGGAAAGGTTTTCATGGTATGGAAGGGAAATACAGTGTAAAGGAAAATAGGAAGAAAGTTTAATCCACTATGCCATTTTTTTTCTTTCAATTTTGGGTGGAAAAGTGAAAGAGAAGAAGAGAATCTTGATTAAAGTTTAAGCTAAATTATTATTATGTCTTTTTGTCCATCCTTATTGTGCACAGTATTCTATGCCTATTTTATTTTTGATGATATCAACCACTTGAAACTCACCACTCTTTTTTTAATGTTATGATTTTAAAATTTAAATATTATTTTTAGTTTTGTATATTCATTTTTTTATCGAAGAAAATGCACCAATATTTAAATTTTTTTTATATTATTATTTTTAATTAATAGTTACAAATCATTCAAAGCAAAATCAATTCGTAAAAAAAATAAGGAGATTAAAAGTTTTTTTAAATTAATTGAATTGATTTGTAATAAAAAATTTATTTAATATATTTAATGGTAGAATTATAAATTAGGCATGTATATTTTTTCTTTTCTTTCATTTTTTATCCAATTCCAAACGTTAAAAAAATATACCTTTTATTCCTTTCGCCTTCCCTTTCCCTTTCCCTTGCTTCCTTCGTTCCATCCTACGTCCGAAACGTACCATAAAGTATTCTCTGTCTTCGGAGGAACTGTCTGGTAAGAGACAGAAAGATTCTTCGATGGGCTCATAAGAGAGAGCACCCAATCGAAACTCTTGGGAATTTAGACGCATCATTCCGAGAAATCTGTCGGAGTTTCACTCACGATCCACCTCTTCCTGGTAGGTCTCCTTCTAAATTTTGCAACTTTTAGCCATTGATGAAACTTATGTTTTAGAATTGTAGCTGCTAAATTATCTATGTATATGCATCGATACATATATTTAACTGTGTGTAAGTGTGTTTGCTTATGTGCCTTTTAATGTCTAATTAGTAAATTTATGTGCATAACAACAGAAAGAGCTTGGATCGTTAGTGGAAGAGGTGAAATTAATTAGTATTTTAGGTTTTTGAACAGGTTTAGTGATTTGAATTAGCCCTGGAATTATAAAGATAAATTTAATGGACTAGATATTCTGTTTTATTAGTGAAACTTAGGCATTTGGCATTTGGGATGTATTGGCTAATTTTGAATTCTAGGTTAAGAGCTTGTGAAGCTTGATATTTTGTACATCTGAGGTGGGAATTGTTGATACATGACCAAGTGGGTAGTTTGAAAATGTAGATGGGCTATGTTTATGCTATAGATTTTGTCAATTAGTCGGGAATTTTCTATCTAAATGGAGTAGTTCAAGATGAATGGATAAATGCGAACAAGAGTGCTGATAGCACTATGTTTCTTCATTGTATGTCCTTAATGTGATATATGTGTTCTCAAAGGGGGAAATTAAACAATATACGAACTTGAGGCCAGGAGGCTAGCTCCTCACAGCGTATCTTTCTGATTTTTCTTTTTAGGAATGCTGATGTAATGAAATATGGAACACGTGTGTTGCAGTCGTGGATTTATTTTTATATTTTTGTTTTTTGTTTTCCAGTTGGTCCTGTTTTATGTTGTCTTTGCCCAACCAGGAAAGAAAAGAGGGACAAGATCGAAAGACAAAAAATGCTTGTTTAAGTTAATGTGACTCTGCACTGGCACAATGCAAAGAAGCTATTGACCTTGGACCCTCTTTTATATAGTGTCCAGCTGACTGCATTGGGTTTTAATTCATGCTGATCAGCACTTATTTCTGCCCTTGTATTACTGCTCCTACAATTTTGTCGCACTGCAATGCCTCATAACCGTGCTTTGCGAAAAGATCTGGAGGATCATATACATGTGTAATGAAATAGTGTAACGGAGCTTGTTTGGCATCAACATTTTCATGTTCTAATTCTGAAATGTTTTGGATGTAGACTGACAAATCTGTTTTTTTAATACAGTGTTGAAAAGTAAACCATGGCTATTATTGACTTGGATTCATTCTTTAGTTTCTACATGAAACCAATGATAGACTTGTTTACAAAAATGTTTCTAGAAAATTAGGGGTTTATGTTGAGTTGAGGATTTTTATTTCATGGAACTCCAATTGACAATCAAAGTAATCAGGGTTAAATTTATTGTCCTGTTGAAAGCAAACTTCTATTGTCAGTGAGTTTGATAAGTTCCCTATGATTTGCGCATTTTGATCTAAAATTACTGATACCTTCTGAAAATATCTAAGATTCCTGCTGTTAATGCACTTTTCTGCCTTCCTCCTACTCTGAACTTTTCTCGGTGATGCATTGAGAAAATAGTATATCAAATTCTCCAGCCAAGTAATCTGCAATGAAAAATGGAAAGATGAACATCAGAAATTCAGATTATGTATTTTCTTTTATGATAAGTAATTCAAGCACATTATGATGCTTTGATGAGGTCCAATAGTTGCAGGCAGCATTAACAACATTTAAAAATGATGTTTACCTGTTGTAGATTATCACATAATTTCACAGAAGATAAAATGTTCACAAATATTCATAAAAGATGAAATGTCACAAATTTTTTATTTGCAGTTGCTGTTTGGAAATTGTTGGAACTGGACCAGACCTAGTGCAAGATCTTTACACTATCTGGTGCCTCGAAAAACCGATGTCATGCCTTTTGGGACAATAGCGCCCTTTGATATTAAAAATCTGTTTTTGTCGTTCTTTTATATCGCACTATCTATATTTAACCAGATCACCTCTTCATTTCAGCTGTTCTCTTTTATGAGTAAGCAAGTTGATGATGGCAGACTTTCCAGGTTATTTGAGAGCTTGCTTGCATACTGGGAAGCTTGCTTGCTTAGCAATTTTGGTCTCAGGAGGGATTGTAATGCAAATACTGGTCAGTGGTGTTTTTCTTGTCAGATTCCATTAAAAATATTTGTATGCTTTCATATGGCATGCTGTTGTTCAAATCGTTGATGTTTCTGATTTTGCACTGCATTATGTGGCAGGCATGTGCTTTGTACGATAATTGGTGGCCAATGTTAACAGGTAAGTGAACATCAATTTTTCTTGTGTTGTAAAGGATGATGCCTTATTAATAATCTGTAAAAAATCTTAAATTGTTCTTTGCATTTGATTGCAAAATTTCCACCCCCCCTAATGTGCAGTTAAATTACAGTGATCCCTCCTGACATTTGGAAAAACAACAGGGCCACCCCTTGACATTTCGAGGGAGCCCCTTACTTTTCACTTTTCAGTAGTTGTAGCAGTCAGACTCCTTTCTCAAGGGCATGTGTCTAGCAAAATAATCCTGAAATTAGACCAATCAAATGAGGGTATATAAGTCATTTCACTGTGAAATTATCTGGGGTGTCATTTTAAAAATCTTCGTGGATAGTCGTGTTGGTATTGCAATTGTCGTAGGGTGCTGGTGTAATTAAATATTTTAAAAACTGACTGAAGAAAGCTCAATTTCATATGACAATTGCTAAGATCTTCAGAAGGAGCAATATGAGGGTGAGACTTACCAATACCTCATGAATATCTGGTTATTCAGTTACCATTATGCCAAGTGGTGGCCCTTAACTTATATTTATTGGTGAAAATCAGAAAAGAAAGCAACATTGGGAAAAAAGTAAAACAAAACAAGTGACGTGACTGATGTGAAAAAGTAAAACATCTCACAAACTACCGGAGGCATTTAACTGTTTCGTGGGCAATCCTTGACCCAACAAATGTAGAATATAGTATAATTTCTCATGAAATAACAAATGCGCTCAACTGTGATATCGGGCAATGTTTGTCAAGACAAGTGTGGAATAATATGGTCTCTCATAAAATACGAAATCTGTTTGACCGTATCAATGGACACTGCTTCTTGAACTTTGTCATGTCTTGAATTGCTCTTCATTGCACATTTCTTGCCTAATGAAATCATTTCTTATTTCTCGGATTGTTTTGATTTGCTATCTTGCTCGTGTAGAAATGATGTCTGCTAATAAGAATTTAAGGCAAGTGAAAATGGCAATTTTAAATTGGTAATCTTCATGAGGGCAAGTCCATCTTGGCTCGAGTCTTCCCATGAACTTGAGCACTGTCCTCACCTAACTATTGGCTGGATATTTCCTTCAAACTAGGGGACCTGTAGATCCCTGCTAGCTTTCATGTCTACAAAAATCTAAAGAAGATAGCATTGTTTGTTCAATACTTTAGGTTTCTGATAGCTGTGTTGTCTTGTCTTGTCTTCTTGCAGTATTAATGTATGTGCTTCTTCCCATGCCTTTGTTGTTCTTTGCGGGGTCAGACACTTCTTCTTTCTTCTCTGAGTCTGGAAATAGGTAAGGCCTTTTCATTCAAAGTAATTGAGTGATTAGATTGCGCCTTTTTTTCATTTTTCTCTTGCTCATAAAAACAACCTTTCGATCTCAATCTTGCTGGTAAATCAGTTGGGTGGATGTAACTAAGTTCTTGACTGGAGCTTCAACCATTGGGAGCATCGCAATACCAGTTATCTTAAAACATTCTGGTGTTATTGGTTGGGGAGCCCTGGCTCTGGAACTCTCATCCTTCTTCACATTTGTTTTAGCAATCTTGTGTTTCCTTGGGACAAGTGATAATGATGGATACAGCATGTTCTGAGACATGCTGCCATCCCCAAAGGAAAAATTTCCCATTTACATTTGTGTAAAAGAAGCATCGATGCCAGTTATTTTCTACAAGATCTTTTATTCATCTTTTCGTGAGCATTGCCTTCGTGTATAAAATGTTGTTTCTTTGACTGAACAATATTCTTTTGGGTCAGTGATTATCTTTGAAATTTGTTGTGTGAGACTGCTGAAGTCAATATTGCCTGGTTTGTGTCCTTTAGGGGAGGATATGTTCTGGTTAATAAGTAGTTGCATCATGAGCAAGGGCAATGTAGCCCACTTTATTTGCTATAGAGCAAGATAGTCTCTCTGCTTGGAGGGGTAAAGTTACGTACATTTATCCCTTCCCAAACCCTGCAGTGATGGGAGCTTGGTGCACTGGGTATGCCTTTTTACCTGTGAAAAGGGCAGTGCAGCTCCTTTCTGAGAAGTTCTATGCCCTTCATATAATTAGACACTGCAATGATGAACACTGAACACGGTTGGGTCAGCAAATAAGCAATGCCCCTCAATCATCAGAGCTTTCTTGTGGATGATTATGCATGACAGTTATTTATAACACTTATGAGAAGTTTTCAAAATCAAGCTATCTGGTTGAGCCAATTTGTTCATGGAAATTATGGATCATTTATAGAGTAAATGATGTATTTGGGACTTCATGCAAACCGCCTCTCCGTATGAGGGTGACCCCTCAGATTATTTTTTTAACTTTACAGTGATGGGAGCCTCCTTTAATGACTATCTTGATGAGGGCCAATTTCTGCTTGTACCCACCACAAAGCTCAAAAAGACAACTAAAATGAAGTTACTGGGAGAGTGCCAAAAGACCGAACAACGAGAAGAATGATGATTTCGCAGGTTTTCAGCTCAATATTACAAAGCCAATGGCTGAAAACAGCATCAAACATTGCTATTTTAGATATATGCAGAGTAAGAAATTGAGAGATATTTGCATTGTTCTTCCAATTCATCAAACTAATCAACAAAATAGCAATGTTGGCTTGGTTTACAGAAGAATGGATAGTTACTGGGTGGTGGGTGGTTGGTTGATAGGTGTCTGGCTATTAAAAAAATCATTGATGAACGTTGCACATGACTTAATCAATTCAACTCAAGGTTCGGTGTTAATATTAATAGAAGTTGTTTACTCTCCTATTAGCGAAAGAACCATTGGTCCTGTAATGTAATTATTTGTAGTCGTATATTTAAACATAATAGAATAAATTATTTACTTGTTTATTAACGTGTAGTTGTTAGATTGGATTCTACGATTAAATATATGTCATATTTGATTTTTTGGTATATAAAAATATCATAATATTAATACAAACAAAGATATTATAATCTAATCAATCTCTTTGTTAATAAAATATAATAAATTTATAATATTATTAGATGTACAAATATTTAGGAGCAAAATTTTTTAAGCTCAAGTATAAATAACAAAAGAAATGTCTAAAAAGGCTTAGAGAAATACTTAAAAAAATGACTGATTGAATACTCTATAATAAATAATTATTTAATTTAATTATAAATATAATTTAATTTTTTTTAAATATCCATATAATGAAATACAATACAATTCAAATCTCAAAAGATAAATAAAATGACTTCTGTTATTCATGGTTGAGATTTCTTTAAATTTTACTTTAAAATTAATTTGAAGATTAATATTAACATTCCAAATTTAATAAGAAAAATAGGGCCCGATGAGTGTATATAGAGTGATTTTTTAAAAGTGTGTTTAATATTTATAATTTATCATAAGCATTTTTTTAAAAAAAAATAGTGTTTGAAAATCGCTCTACCAACACCTCTACCACCCCACCGCCCCACCACAATCACCATTACTACCACCACCACCCCACCGCTACAACTACCATTGTTGCCACCCTATCACACCCATCGCCCGACCACATCCGTCACCGCCACTGTTATTGTCATCCCACCATCACCTCTTCTATAAAAATTGTCATCACCACTGTTGTCACAACCACCACTATTGTCGCTCTACCACCGCCACCCCACTAATGCCCCACCACCATCACCGTTGTCGCCACTTTATCACCATTGTCATTATCCCACCATCGCCCCCATAGTCGCACCATCATCGTCACCATTGCCACACATAACTGCTACCATCACAACTAATCGTCATTATCTATCAATTATCACAGTTATCATCGTGTCCCACCACTATTATTGTTGCACACCATCACTACTATTGCTCGCCCCTACTACAAGTGGTGTTTAAATTTATTTTTCTCTCATTTATTTTTATAATTTGATTTTTGATATAAATATAAATATATTTATTATTGACTATTTTTTTTATTACTCCCTACCTTCAAACATGAAAAATAACTAATTACTATTATTTAAAGTAAAACCAATATTACCTGCTACAAACTTGGGTGGGCGGCAAGCTTTAAAGATAGAAGACTTGGGCGGCAAGCAACAAACAGCTTGCAGTCGACGGCGTTAGTCAGGTTATCCTTTTCTCTCCTGCACAGAAAATCAAGAAATAAAAAATGTCTCTCTCTTCAAGAAAACAAGCTTTAAAGATAGACGTAATGTCCATGGCAGACATCGAAGCATCCGCAAGAAAACTCGGAGTCGACATCTCTTCCATCGACTTGGACTCCATAGAACTACCTCCCGATGAAGATTTTGGCATCGAAAGGTACGCACACATGCACACTTATTTTATATATCTAAGCTTTAAATATTGGCTTGTTCATTCATTTATTGAAAAAAAAAATGATTTGCAGTGATGATGATGAAGATGTGTTTGGTGATAATGATGATATTATACTCGATACGGCTTTTGGGAACGCAATTGTTGTGGATAACCTTCCGATGGTTCCACCTGAGAAATTTGAGAAGCTTGAACGTGTTATACGGAGAATTTATGATGGAATTGGTGTGACGATTAAGACTGATGGATTTTGGATGCCAATCAATCCAGAGACTCAAGAAACCCTAGGTTATTGTTTCATCGAGTTTCATACTCAACAGGTATTACTTAATTTCTTGACCAATTATGTTAAACTTTTGTTGAATATCTTGAAGTTGTTTGGATTAAGATATTATAAATTAACCATCAGTATCAACCTTTTCTAAGTATTAATTAATTGATAAAGGATGTTCACTAACAAACAATGCACGAGTCAGCAAGCAATTTTGATGAAGGTGTCCGTGTTGTACACTTGTATTGAAGTTAGCAGAATACTAGTTGTGGATTTCTGATCAACTCCAAAATTGGTAAATGAAGGAAGAAACATACCAAAATTGATATTAACTTAATGAAAAATTTCAGCCACACCTCTCCTAATTTACTATATTTTCAAGGACACTCTCTCTATTATCAAAAATATCACTGACACCCGTTCTAGTTTATATTTAAATATCACTAACACCCCTTATCATTAAATTACCATTTCTAAAAAAAACAAAAATTCATCTAAAATACCAAAAATGTCCCTACATAAACCTCAAGTAATTTTTTTACATAAAATTTTATTAAAATTTGAGCTGATTAAAATTTATTTTTCTACATATTAAAATTTGAACTAATTAAAATTCGATTGAAACTGATTAAATTTTATTTTTTTTAACGTATTAAAATTTGAGCTTATTCAAATTTATTTTTTATGTATTAAAATTTGAGCCAATTTGAACTATATCTGAGTTATTAGCGCCAATTAAAATTTGCTTTCAAGTCGATTAAAATTATATTTTTTTATTTTTTAAAATTCGTGTTAATTAAAATTTAATTTATTAAAATTTTAGTCAATTAAAATTTAAAATTTTTTATGTATTAAAATTTGGGCTAATTAAAATTCAATGCGAGTGAATTAAAATTTGATTTGAGTCGATTAAAAATAATTTTTAATTGGCTCAAATAAAAATTTAATTAGACCAAATTTTAATACGTAAAAAATATAATTTTTAATCGGATCAAATTTTAATATGTTAAAAAATAAATTTTAATTAACTTGAATCAAATTTTAATCGATTCCAAATTTTAATACGTAAAAAAAATAAGAAAACAGATGGGGTCTTATTGAAGATATGCTTATTTAGAGGGGCGTGAATGAAGTTTGTCCTCAAATATATCATAAGTAATTTAGTAAAATTGTATTCTAGTTAATATTTTTAATCTGACAAGGGGTGTCAATAAAAATTCAAAAAATAGAGGGGTGTCCTTGAAGATATGATAAACTATAAGGGGTGTGGTTGAAATTTTTCCTTAATTTAATTATTTGCACACCGGTGGTATTATCCTTGGATTCGATCACTCTGAGTATCTTATTGTAGCTATTGTTTATGTTTGCCATTTTAGGAGGCTGAACTTGCTATGAAGGAGACAAATGGACGTAAATTGGGCAGCAGACACACTATTTTGGTGAATTTATTGGACGAATTTGACAGGTTTATGAATGTTCCAGAGGAATGGACACCTCCGGAGGAAAAACCATACAGTAGCGGAGTGAGCATTTGAATTCCATTACACTTCTTGTTCATTTCCTTCTTTTAAGATTCTCAATCCTCATAACACTTTATGTTACATCATTAGTCTTATTTCTTGTGGTTGATTTTGTTTTATACAAATTTTCACTGTTAAAAATAGAGGATGATTAGCCAAATAAAAAAGGATGTATAATTGCACATTTGTAAAGCCTCAGACAGGCGGGATTAAGAATGTTGACATTGAATATATAAGACTTTGAATCTGATTATTTGATTTGTTTTTTTGCCAAATTATAGAGGGAAAATTTACAACAGTGGCTTACCGATTAAAAAGCTCGTGATCAGTTTGTTATTCATGCTGGATTGGATGTGGAGGTCTATTGGAATGATATTGGACTACTGAAGCCCGAGCTTGTTCATGCTCTCAAAGTATGCAGATTTGTTAATTTTTTCCCCTAACTGGGAATAGATGTTGGTAAATGGTAGACCTTCTTTCCTTGATTTCAATCAACAAAAAAGAAAACTGTTTATTTATCAGAAACAAAGATATCTTTCAGGCTATATAACAACGCCTATGCTGTTCATGTGCTTAGTAGTAGCCCATCTACTAATAGATCCTGTGATCATTGAGTGTGAAGTTTTAACTAATCATTGTATTTGACATTTGGGAATGGGATATAAAGGCATAAATGCTCAGGATTGGAATTATTCATATGACCTTTTCTCTCTGCATACATACACTGAAATAAATGCAATATGAAATGAAGACCAACCATTAACTGTGCTTACTTAAAAATTCAAGATACTTCTTTATGATGGACTAGCATTTCACATTCTGTCATAGGAAACTAAATGAACTTTTGTATGTCATTTTCTTTTTTGTTTAAGATTTTGGAAGCCCCCCCCCCCCCCCCACCCCTTTTTTTCCTTTTGAGAGCAAGAATCTAAAGCAAGGGAATTCCTGATCCAAATTAAAATTTCCATAACGAAGTTAGCTGCCCCTTTTGTTCATGAGGTTGGGAAATACACTTACATAATTGCAAAATACATGTGCACATGCGCATTGATCACTTTTTTCAGTTTATCCTGGGTACCACACACTATTGGGTGTTTCCACAATTGGGCTAATATTTTTCCATTCCATATAGTTCTAATTTACAATTAAGTAGGACTGGCAATTTCTTGATGTATCCAGTAGTTGTTTGATCGCAGTTGATGTCAATGGAGCCTGATAGCAGTTGAGGCCCTGATGTTGCTTCGCTGGAGCCTCGTGGTGGTAGTGCTACTGCCTTCTGTTCAGTGTTCTGTGATTTAGGACAAAAAAAGTCTCAAATTCTGTACAAAATATAATTTATGTAATTTAAATTTTAAATGGGCATTAAACCTTCCAATTTTTAAAAATCGTCGATTCACGGTTTTCCGGTTTATTACAATTTCTTTGCCTTAAGCGGTTCAATTAGGGGAATTGGACCGGTCAACAGTTCGGTTCGAGATTAAACCGATCGGATCGTTCGATTCGATCCGATTCTGATAACACTCGAAGGGTACAATGTACAATTCGCCCTTACAGAGAGAAAAACAAGACCACTGTTCTGCTCTGCACTTTGCTTTTGTAGAGACAAATCTATAGCTTTGATCAGCTCTCTGAAGAAACCATGAACGAACGACAGCGATCGATCCTCCTCAAGTCCTCATCTCGATTCCCACCTCCCCAAGGTGCTTACCATCTTCCAAACCTCTTTGCACTGTTAAAGTCTCATTGATTCTAATTTTTTGTTTTCAATTTTTTGGAATTTGATGTTTTTAAGGAGTGAGGCTATCCTACGGTACGGCGGGGTTCAGAGCCGATGCTTCGGTGCTGCAATCGACGGTGTATAGGGTTGGGATATTGGCGGCACTGAGATCTCTGAAGACACAGTCAGTGATCGGATTGATGATCACTGCTTCGCATAACAAGGTGTCCGATAATGGAGTCAAAGTGGCTGATTCGAGTGGTGGAATGTTGGCTCAGGATTGGGAGCCCTTTGCTGATTCCATTGCCAATGCCCCTGATCCCCAGAGTTTCGTCCAGGTCTCGATCTATTCTTTACTCTCTCTCTCTCTATCCTTTACTCTATCAATCTATACACACGCATATATGTAAATGTGGAGTTATATGCGATTTTGTCGCTATTTGGCGACAAATTGATGAAGAAGAGATTGTGTGTGTGTAGTTGTTTGAGGGGTTGAGGGATGAGCAACTAGACCCTTTTAGTTGTCCTTCTTTTGGTTTTAGGCTTGGGGTTGTGTAAAATCGAACACTGTAATTTTAATGTCGTCTTGGGTTGGGGTTATCTTTCGCACAAACGGTGTATGCTTTTTGTTTAGCTTGTGGGTTGAAGGATGGGAGATGCAGCCCTCTGAATTGTTGAGATTTCTAGGCTTTCCGCCGGTTTAAATTTTGTGAAATTCTGGAATTTATATATTATGCTTCACTTGTTTTGAGTCTAAATGAATTTGCATCGGGAAAATGTGATACAATAATCAGTAAGGCGACTGGTTTAGTAGTTGAAATTTTGCTTAACAGTCGGTTTCGGTTCGAACCTGAGTGCTGCTATCTCCAGAACTCTCGGTAAATAAGCAAATGTTATTTTCTACACAATCAAATGCCTGAAGTTGCTGATGAATTTTCTGTCTGGATCTGGAAAGGCTGCCCCTCAAAACCAATGTAACATATTTGTGCATCTCTATATTCAGATTTTAGAGGCACATGTATAAGCATGCAGGTTTTGTCACATTTGATGCAAGGAGAATTTGGTCTTAATACAACTTCTCATTGAATGAAGGAAAGTTCGGTCTTCACACAACCTCAATGGTTCACAGTTCAATACTTTGGTTGACCTTTCAAGTTATTGTGTGCATATCAAGTAAGTTTGGGGTGTATGTGCTCCTTTTTCTTTTATCATTTATTGATTTCATACCCTTTTTTGGTTTGTTGAAGCAGTTGATATGTGACTTTGTGAAGAAGGAAAACATTCCACTAGAGGCAGTAAAGACCACAGGGATACTAGTGGGAAGAGACACAAGGCCTAGTGGAGAGTCTCTTCTTGAGGCTGCGAAAGAAGTATGGTTTTCCCTTAATAATCGTGTGCTTTGGTTGTCAACCGCTGGTTCGAATGCATGCATACATTCATAGTATCTGATTATCCTTAGCTGTTTTGGTTTAGGCCTGCAAAACATTTTTTTTTGGGGGGGGGGTATTTGACAGATCCTATTTTACATGCAACTAGTATATGATCTTGTGATTATTGTGACATAATTTACCTACCTTTATAGCTCTTTCTCCCTCCATCATCCATCTTTCCCTCTCTTTTCTCCTCTCCCATCAGTGCCATCAGCCATTTTTTGTCTTTGTTTTGGCACCCATATTCACAAGCATAGCATGAAAATTGCTTGTACACGTCAATTGCTCATAGTGTGTTTGAGTAGGTGTCTGTGTGTATATATGGGAGCACATTTCAATAAGTTAAAGGAAGCTTAGACTTTGATGGAGGGGTGCTGGCCATGTGTATGTAAATTAAATTTTGAAATTTGGAGCCTATGTTTTTTTAGATAATGTATGATACATTTATATTTGATGTTCATTTCAAGGGAGTCAGTTCAATAGTTGGAGTTGTTGCCATTGACATGGGAATTTTAACAACCCCACAACTGCATTGGATGGTCCGTGCTAGAAATAAGGGAATGGAAGCATCTGAACTTGATTACTTCAACCAGCTTTCGGGCTCTTTCAGGTTAGTTTGAGCAAGGAATGTATAGTGACATCAAATTTGTCTTAAATGCGTTTTATTACAAGATATATGAATATCTGTTCACATAATTTTTTAGGTGCTTGATGGATTTGTTACCCCAAGGCAATAAAACCAATGAAATGCATACAAAATTAATTGTAGATGGCTCAAATGGTGTGGGTGGGGAAAAGCTTGAAATTCTGATGAAGATGTTGACTGGATTAAATATGGACATTCGTAATTCTGGTAAAGAAGGTGTACTCAATGAAGGAGTTGGTGCTGATTATGTGCAAAAAGAGAAGGTTGTTCCATGTAGTTTTGGATCTGCCGATGTTGGGATAAGGTGAGTGAGTCACCTTCCTGTTGGTTCATCTATGTTGATGCAAATTATACTTTCAGGTTCTTACTTCAAGTACTTTCGTAGTTGCATCATACTTAAATGATGGAGAAAGGTTGAATAGTAACTCGTAACAGTATATAGGACTAGCTCTTTGCGCATGTCCAGTAGCTAGCTTGAGTGGCATATGCAGGAACTTCTATGGGGAGGTGCAGGATTAGAATGTTAGTAGGAACATGCATGTTTGTATTACTTCAAAAGGGAAATAAGAAAATAACAACATGGATTGGTGAATTGTAGCATTGTTGAGACTCTAGTCCATTTGCATTTTTATGTCATGTGTTGGCTCTGCTATGGGTGTTGATCTCTACATTGGACTTATTGGCCACATAACCCTGTTAAACATGTTTTTTCCTCATTTTCCTTGTTTTCTCTGGGTTTTTTTTTTTTTTTTGGGGGGGGGGGGTTGTTGAAGGGGGAGATAGTTCTAGTCAATTTGACTACAAAGTCTAGTTTTTTTAGTATTTTCTCGAACTACAATATAGCCAAACTGGCTTTTTGATGAATGATTTTTAGTTGGGGCCAAAACCTTGTTGGTCATGCCAATTCCAATTCTAACCTTGAAACAAGGATCAAAATTCGTTTCGGTGCATTATTTCAGTCACCTAGGAAACGGAAACATTTCGACGTGTTTTGAAAATGTTTCGACCCGTTTTGGAAATATAATGAAAAAAAAATAAAAATTTAACAATTATTTTTCCAAAATATGTCAAAGTATCTTGAAATATTTCGAAATAATTGTGTAAATGTATTGAAACATTACAAAATACCTCAAAATATTATGAAATATCTCGAAATATTATAATTTCAATTCCATTATTGATTAGTTTTGGTCTCCTTCGAAACGGAAATGTTTCGGAAGTTTTGACCGTTTCGAAACAAAATTTTGATCCTTGCCTTGAAAGATTGTCTATTAAACCTTGTTCAGTTTCCTATTGGTTGATGAGCAATGGGAAATAATTGCTTCGATGATACTAGTGTTTCAGGTGTGCAAGCTTGGATGGGGATGCTGATCGGCTTGTATATTTCTCTTGTCTAGCAAATAGTAACAAGATTGACCTTGTTGATGGGGACAAAATATTGTCTCTGTTTGCTTTATTTATCAAAGAGCAACTAAGAATCCTGAACGAGGTGGAAACTGAAAAAGTAGAAAAGTATCATCAAGCACATCTTGGAGTTGTGCAGACAGCTTATGCAAATGGAGCATCCACTGCTTATCTCAAACAGCTGGGACTTGAAGTCATATTAACTCCCACGGGAGTGAAATACTTGCATGAAAAAGCTGCTGAGTTCGATATTGGGATATATTTTGAAGCCAATGGGCATGGAACCATATTGTTCTCAGAACATTTCATACGCTGGTTAGAGGATAGAAGTGACAAGCTTTCTTTGACATCGAAAGGTTGTATAATTACATAGGTTGCCTTTTCCTTTATTTTAGGATTTCTGATGGTGCGGTTGATGACAAAATATATGATAAATTGATTGCTTTTTTCAGGTTCAGAACAGCAAAAGGCTGCTTTGAGACTAATGGCAGTCACTAAGTTGATCAATCAGGCAGTGGGAGATGCTCTTAGTGGGTTACTTTTGGTGGAGGTTATCTTACAACACATGGGATGGTCAATCCATCAATGGAATGAGCTGTATGAGGATTTACCCAGCAGACAGCTTAAGGTCAGTCTATTAGATAATTCATGTGGATGGTGTTGAGTAGTCCTTGTGTTAGAGATAGGATTTACTAATCTTTACATGGCATTTAGTATTTAGAGGCTAGATTGAACTTTTTTTTAACTTGGAACTTCAGCCTAAAATACTGGAGCCAAAGATCTTAGATTTTGTCTTGTTCAACATTGGCCACCGAGTTAACTTCTGAAGCTATTTTAAATGCTTTTCAACTCCTTTATGATTTTGCTCAAATACTTGTCTCAGTTTACCTGTGCTTTTTTGATATCTGCTGTCTACATAGTTTAGGTTCGGGATCTTGATGGGTTCCTTCCTAAAGAAACAGAATTTGATGCAATTTTTGCCAACTGGATGTCCCTTTTGTTGTTCCCATTTTATGCTTTTTCTCTTGTTTATGTTTTCTTTCTTCCGATTATTAAGAGCTTGATTATGCTGTTGCTTTTGTAAATGGGGCCCAGCATGACTGAACTAGATTTGTAGTACTATCTCCATGTGTTGAATTTCTTGTTACTTTAAAAAAACCTGTGTCTGAATTTGCTATACGGCTTTTGTGAACTTGCAAACATAGGAGGAAGTCTTCAACTCTCTCTTATCATGTGTATCAGTGTATCATATATATATGAAAACTTGTATTTATGACATTATTGAACTTGTTCAAGTCATGAAAAACAATGATCATCTGATACATTGCAGCACAATGGCATAAGTGCTGCTGTGTTGGCATGTGGTATCTGAAAGCGAGGAGTGGGTTAAGAGGTCATTGCCAATACAGTGGTATCTGAAAGGGAGGAAAGAGTTAAAAAGTCCATTACCTAATGTTGTGTTGCTATGGTGGCATGTGGTATCTGGGGGCTGTTGCTTTATGCTAATAATTCAAAAGGTTGTGTCTATATCTAAACAGCCCATCTGATACCCTTAAATAATGAGGAACACTTGGTAATGACCTTCTATAACCTCTATTTAAAAAAATTGTTGTAAAGGATAAGAAACACTTGCAAATATCATGGATGGTGTAAACTTGGACAAGAGTGGGGATAATGAGGTATTCTTTCAAGAAAAATTTAACTTCAGAACAAAGAAGAATGATACCAATCAGCTCAGGAATTGGTTCTTTCCACTTGTAAATCAGAGAGGACGAGTGAGGAAAAAATAGAAGAAAAGAACAGGGACTGAGCTCTCCATCTTTTATCCACATTATTGCAACGAAGAGTAAAAATTTCAATGTTGAAACCTGAAACAAACTGTTAATCCTTTCCCTGAGTTTGCAGTTTCATGTGGACAAATATTTGCAGAATCTCTGGACACTATTTGATGTTAGTTCCTTGTTGTGGTTTGTTTTGGGTGTGAACCATCTGGTGTTCAGGTTTATGTTTCTATTTGTTTACTTATGACGACTTAAGCCTTGAACCCTTATTATCATGCTAATGAAGGTATTTCTGTATTATCATTCTTTTGTGAAACACTTCAAGCTTTAACAAATTTACATTTGGATACTGATGTGTCTACCCCATCATTATTGATGATGTTATTTTATGTTCCCAGGTAAAGGTTCTTGACAGAACTGCAGTTGTCACAGCAAACGCAGAAACTGTAGCTGTGAAGCCCCTTGGTATCCAAGAAGCCATTAATGCGGAAATAGGTAACCATTTGACAAAAACATGTTTTTTCTAATCTGGGATACAATCTCTGACCAGAATTTTTGTTCTAAATCATTGATTTGATCATTTTGATCCTCTATAGCATTCTATAGGGTGTTTTGCCTGCTGTTAGATGTACCATAAACGTGTTGGACCTTTTAAATGAGCTCATTCAATGCACTTTAACTAGAGAAGGAACAATGCATATCAATAAAACCATAAGTATATGTATAATGTTTCAAATTCTATACATATTATGCTGCCTTGTATACTCTATCCCCAATAACAGGAAAAGATCCATAAACCAATTCCAGAAAATTAAGTTAATGCAAGTTGTTGAGTCTGGCATTGTTCATTGCATTTTTTTTCGTAGGTAGGAATTCCTAAAATACCAGTTATATGGAGTTCTCATAACTTCTTTGATGCAGCAAAATACCCTCGAGGCAGATGTTTTATACGGCCATCTGGAACAGAGGATGTGATAAGAGTATACGCAGAGGCAATCACGCAGGAAGCAGCAGACGACCTTGCCAATTCAGTGGCAAGACTGGTAGACCAGTTTCTTGGTTTCAGCAGCTCACACTGATCTCGTTTACATTAACCCTTTCACCTAATTTCAAATTATTGATCCTCATTTTTATACTGAAAGGCATGTTTTGAGAATGTATGACATGTATTCTCCCAAAAACACTTGGGTTTGAATTTTGTAATGTCTCTTATTAAAGGAATGGTCAAGTACCTCCGAATTCCGGGAAGAAATAATTGAACTGCATTCCATGCACCCCTAGACAAATACACTTGATCGGCTGTCTAATGATAGAATTCATATGTCTAGATTGTTTAACTGTTAGTGATCACTCCAAAAAGCTTGCTCGGATAAGACAAGTTGAACTTTGCGAGCTTAAGTTTAGCCACTTAAACTCTTTTTTTTTTTAAATGAGCCTAAAAAAATTGTATATGTTTGATTTATTTAAAAAATAAATCAAATTTGAGTCGAGTCCAAAATAAGTCAAACATGAGTAGTTTGAGTATTTTATATTTTATATATAAACAAATCAAGCATTACGAGCTTTTAGACTTGACATGTTCTGCCAACCATCCAGACAAGTTGCCTTGGAATTTAAACTGATTGAGTTCAACTGGTATATGTGATGATGAGAGTGCAGTTTCCTATCCCTGGTGGAGGCATTTTACTTGCAGGCTTTCGCGAGCAAATTGGATTGCTTGTCCTGAACCACTGCAGCTTTCAAAAATTAAGTTCCATGTAGAGCTGATAATTGAGTCAAATTACTCAAACGGATGATATAATAAAAGGCATTTGTCATGTTTATGGAAAGGGCATATCCTCCATTCAAGCCTTTACTGTGACAAACACCTTTTGATGTCAACCATTACATACATATCTCGCTGTAAACTAAAGAAGTAGACGAGAAGTTTGAAGTTGGTGTAACTAATCCCACGAAGCTTCCATCAACGACAAGCTTCATCTTTCAGCATAAAAGTATCAAGGGACACTCCAGTCATCTGAACCACTCATATTTCAAAACCTAATTCCATCCTCCTAATCCAATCCTGTATCAAGCAGGTTAATTGACCCTGAAAATGTAGGAGGCCACAGTTTCATAATGTGCTCAAGAATAGTACAATGTGGCTCAACTCGGACTATTCATAGCCCTGCCAGAGCGGTTGCTTGTAACTTCACATGACACTACCATCTTGTTACTTCAAATGCAGCTTACAAAACATTGGCGACTTACTATTTCGAAGTGACTCGAACGACTGCATACCAGCAGATAGAAATTTGTGAGAAACCTACTGAATTTTTAAACATCAGCTCCCTCAAATACACAACTCTCACAATGTAAAGGAAGCATTCAGACAAAAAAAAATAATGTATAGCCATGTGGGGGAAAATATTTTCCACGGCTGATTTGTCCAATAGCTTTTAACCAGCACAAGTAAAACTAAGGCCCTTGGTTAGCAGAAGTACATAAATAATGTGATCTTTCTGCCACTATCTAATTGCAGTGATACACAAGTCTATTGCTTAAGACTCAATTATCTTACCTTCCTTTAGCATCTACAATTTTTTCGACAAGCACAACTTTTATGGGATGGGAGAGGCTCCAACGAACTCTTGACCTCAGGGTAACTCGAGTGCTTTGAGACATCTGTTGAGTTTTACCACCTTCTCATAAAACATCCCTATAAAATACAACTTGTAAAAATGAACACAGTGCAGATGCATCATGAATGCAGATAACCAAGACTATATCATCAATATTAATTGATACAACCCTCCGTGCGTCTTTCGTGTTTTTCTCCACAATCTACTTGTGATGCCACTTACGGTAATACATGGCACAACTCAAAAAACTCATAACCAGAAACTTTTGGCTAGTAAATATATCCCTATTCAGAATTCAAGCAATCTTTACACTAGTCTCAATACTTCAATTCAACATCAAAGCACATCCTCCTATCCTATCAAAAGTTTATGAATAAATAAGATGGTATAGTTGGCAAATCCATCTTGTTACAAGAAACGTATACTACTAATTCAAAACCCAGACACTTTTTCTTTCAAGAAGTCCCATTCTTACACTCATGTCCTGGCTATTCCAGACCAGACACCCAATTAGACAATCATAAAGTATTGAATTTTCTTTCGTTCAAATAATAAACTTATTGGTGGATGCCTGCAAAATGAACCCAAACTATATTTCATGAAACTTGGGGCATCGATGAATATATAAAACAACTATAGAAAATAGATCCTTCTGCTTAGGCACCTCCTAGATTTCTACTGCATCACAAACTCCTCACTTTGCTCGACTCCAACCCACTGCAAAATGCCTTAGTCTATCCAACACATATCTCAATACAATTTAAACACATGCTACTTCCACCTAACAATCAAGCAAAACAAATTGAGGATCAAGGGAATTTGGCAAACTTAAAAATCATAAAAATACTAACCTTTCTGTTGTGTATTACTTTAACCACATATAGACTAGTATTGTTAAAAGTAACATCATACTCAACAATCAACAACTACAAGCACCCACAGAAAGACACAGTGATAGAAGACTTAAAATAGTGATGATAGAAGGAAATATATCCTGATAAAATGCAGGAAGAAGAGAAACCCATAAAATAAAGCCAATTTACTAACAAAAATTGGGTAGTTATTCATTCTATCAACATCACATAATTATGCAAAAAGCCCCTTGTCAAATTCCATTCAAAGTTAACAATCTCAGTAAAGGGTCTTCTTATACATTTCTTTTCATGCTCATTTGCTACCTTCAGAAGACTACGCGAAACTGAGGCGCATTGGAGTCATTCGCCGGCAAGATCTCCCAGCGGCATGGTTCGAGCTCGTCCGATACGGGGCAGAACCCGGCAAGCGTCACCTTATCAGTCGAAGCAGCCACCGATCCGAATTCAAAGATCGTGACGTCGGCCGGAGGGTCTGGTCGAGGTACTTTCATAGCTCCGTTCATGCCCGGTACCTGGGAGTTTTCCGACGAAATTTGAGGTTTCTGTGCGGGTTTGGAGGGCTGAGTTTCCTTGTTGTTGCCTTTCCACCAAGAGAAAATCCCCATGGTTGATGATGATGATAAAGATGAAGATGAGTATCAGCGAGAGAAAGAGGACTAGGGTTTCGTTCTTGTACTAGAGCGACTGATATTAGCTTGAGTATAAATGTAGATAGGGCTTTTATTTTGAGGGAATTACGGGAATGCCCCCTATTTGTAATGAAAATGTAATAATTGAAAATTTTCC